TGCCCACTCAGTCACATGACTGGCAAGCCATGCCCGCTCAGTCACATGGCTGGCAAGCCACTCCCACCCAGTCATATGGCTAGCAAGCTGCTCCCACAACAGCAGGCACCACCTACAGAAGAGGTTCTAAAAAAATTTGAAACCCACCACTGCTTTACACCCTTCCTTGTACCGACCAGATGATTCCTCCTCTCGCTCTTCATCTTGATGATGTGGGGACGGGGGGGGGAGGGAGCTGGAACCGGTTCTAAACAGTACTGTAGATTTGTGGAACCTCTTCTATAGAAGAGGTTAGAACTGGCAGGAACCCACCCCTGGTGTAGAGCCACTCACTGACTCCAAATGTTGACTTACCTAAAGGCTAGACTCGACAATGGAGAATAGAGAATGGAATGGAGTAGAGTGGCGTGGAATAGAGTAGAACAGAACATAATCAAATGGAGAATATAGAATAGAATATAGAACAGAACAGAGCAGAATAGAATCCGGAAGGTACCTTGGAGGTCTTCTAGTCCATCCCCCTGCTCAGGCAGGAGAACCTATACCGTTTCAGATAAGTGACCGTCTAGTCCAGTGATGGACACTCCCCCGGCGCCCTATCCCCTGAGCATGCGTGCATGACAGTCCCCTCTGGATGTGCATGCAACACTTCCTGCCCTGTTTTCGGCTTAGTAGGCCTCCCTGCAACCAAAAACAGGTCGTGGGAGAGGTGCGTCGTGCATGCACGGTGGAGCTGAGTTGGGACGTTGGCTTGCATGCCCGCAGAGAGGGCTCTGCGTGCCACCTGTGGCATGTGTGCCATAGGTTCACCATCACTGTTCTAGTCTCTCATAGAAGTGGGTGATCTACAAATAATTGTGCAAGTAAATAGGGATGAAGATCCGTCAATTGGGGAAGAGGGGGAAATGCTAGGAAGCCACCGCTTGCCATATCTGGTTTTAACCCTCTTTTTTTCTCACCAGGTCCTGTCCAGTGACAAATTGTAGCTTTGATGGATGGTGGGACCAGGACTTCCGCTTAAGCGCCATTCCGGTTGCTGGGTTCAGGCTTGCCAAGAATACACCCAAAGGAACTCAAGAGCAGCCATAATCCGGGTGCCCTGAGCAGCATTGCCGAGGCGGTTTCACCACCACTAACACCCTTCCTGCAAACTAGCTAGAAGTTGTGCAGAAGTCAGCACCTCTTCTTCCCCCAGAGTAACTCTAAACCAGCTTCTCGCATACGATGTTTTTCAGTTGAGTTGAACTGACGAATTTTCTAATTAGCATATAGAGGAGCTGCCCCTAGTTGAAGGACGTTTTGCCTTCTCGGAAGAGCTCTTCGCACCAGCTTTCTTTTTTAACAGTGCCAAGATAAAAGAAACGGGAAATTTACCCAGGTTTTCCCCCTCTCGGCACACCCATAAAGAGGTTTCGTTTGCTTCCGGAGAGTCGTTTTCGTCTCGTGCTCCTTCATTATGAAATTGGAATCAGCAGTCGATCGAAAAGCAGAAGTGGCTAAACGGAACGAGCTGTTTAATCAGGAAAAAAAAGAAACAGGCTTACATTGGACCTCCAAATTCTCCCAAAGGGAAGGATGGCAAACATTGGTTGTGAAATTTCAACAGATTTTTAAAAAATTCTTTGTGTGTGTGTGTGTGTGTGTGTGTGCTATGTTGTTAAAAATTATCAAGTGTTCAATACTTGTTTCATGTCCAAAGGTGTGATTTAGACTGTTCCCCCTCCCGCCCCCTCTCGCTGCAAATCTGGGAGGTTTTGCACCCAGAGCTGAACTCATGTCTTGAACTGGTGTCACCTGCCTCTCCTTTTAATTGGGCTAAACCACCCTCTTTGTTTAGTGATGTGTTGGCCTAGAGGTGGCGCTCTAGCCTCACCATCAGGCGGCTGGGAGTTTGATCCTAGGTAGAGGCAGATATTTCTCTCCTTGGGAACGATGAGAATATATCTGCTGAATATAACTCCGCATTGGCAACAGGAAGGGTGTCCGGCCAGTAAACGTTCAGCTCCATTCAGTTGCCCAGATTCCACCCTGCAAGGGATTATGAGGGTCGTTAAAAAAAGATGAACTAAGAAAGGCAAGCTACGGCCTCTCTCGTTTTTATGGCATTTACTAGCTGATAATCCGGTGTT